GACCCTTCTTCAGAAATTTCTGAAGAAGGGTCTAGGCCCGAAACGTCAGCCTTCCTGCTCCTCTGATGCTGCTCGGCCTGCTGTGTTCCTCCAGCTCTACACCTTGTTATCTCAGGTGTTAAAATTGTTTGTGCTGATGCATTTGAGATCAGCTAAACTCAACACAATATATGGATTGAAACTGCATCTTCTCCCCCCATCCCCAATTGGTTCTAATTGGCTTTACACTGCCAGCTAACCAGCAGTTTAATAGAGTGTTGGTTTCAGCCATTTCATCTTGGAAATAGCAATGTTGCCAAGCCATTGTTATGCATATCTAATTCAAGCAATTCAAATGGTCACACTTCAAACATTCTTATTTATTGAGTCAGACTGCATTTCACTCAGGAGAAGAATCAGTACTGGCACTTGATTATTAGGGGATGTACTTGAAACAATTACTAGAGTATCTTCCCTCCAACTTTTGCTTTTTTTAAACTGCACACACCTGTTGCTGACTTGGATCTGGTGGATATCGGTGGAAGGGAAGAAACTTTGCTTTCATCCAGAGTTCAACACATTTTATAAAAGCAAAAGCGCACGCATGGATGTATAAAATTGATAAAAGATTACATTCTCAAAGTGATGATTCCCTTTACAAAATATTTTGAAAGGAAATGTTCCAGAATGAAAAAATGCTGTGCAAGTATTTGTCTAAAATCAAACGCCTCTTCATTATTTCAAGAAGGCAGCAGTTCAGTTCACTAACTGAAGTGATGCTTGTGTTGTTTTTAGACACAGTTTTGATTGTGGGCTTGTAGGCCTTTATCTGATCCATCAGGTTCAGTGACATTTCATATTGAGATGCATTTGTGACTTGCTGGTTTATAGCTCTAATAAGTGCACACGACTCTAATATGGCAGGTAACATTTCACCATGAGCTGTGATTTTTGTGCCAGTCATGTCACATGCTACATTTACAGTTTTACAAAGGAAATTTTCATTTCTGTTTAATTTTGTAGACATCAGCTCACAATAACAGTTCTAATTCAGATGGAAGCCCAGTGCCTCTAGGAACGAAGAGGAAGAATGGGGATAATGATGATGATGATGATGACGATGAACCACCAGATAATATCAGGTGCTGTTATTGGCTGGTTGCTTTGTTTAGCTGTTCAGCAAATTCCTAAAATAGGTGCTCTAATTAATACCACTTAATTTGAAGGAAAATAATCATCATCTTTTCCATAACAGCTTTTCTGTTTATCGAGTAGTAATTAATGTGGAGGCACAGGAACACTTAGCAAAGCATTTTGAGACATTGGAGCTGTTGATTGAGGAGCAAATATAGTAATCAAGTAGGCTGTTCTAGTAGAAGTCCCTTCTCCCTTTGAGAACAAACTGTAAATTAGACATTTCCCTCTTTTATGTATATATATGAGTATTCAAGTTGAGTGCTAGTACTGACATTAACCCGTTCCTTCCACTTCAACTTTGTGGATGTCACTGGGTACTACAAAAATGCATACGGTGCACCATTTTTTGAGTGGGGGTGGAAGGGGCTTGATTGGAGTTTGGGGGAGAATACTTTAAGACCAAGTATTATGAACTGTGGTTGACCTTTTAAGCAGCAGCACTGGCTTTGGTTAAAAATAATTGACAGCATTAATGGCTGAAATAAAAACAGTGGTGTCATTGTATACCGATGGCTTATTTTGTACTTTGCTATTTTATCACTAGTACTGTGCATGTACAGAGATTTGCACAGATTCCTATGAGCTGATTATTCCAAACTAGACATTACTCCAAATGATCCTGATAATTTCTTAAAATATATCACACTGTGCTATTGAAGGAATGTGTTAAGACATGTTACAAACTTTGCTGTCAGAAACTTGCTTTTGTACCATTTATGTCTTTGTTTGAGTGATGGAGTTAGAGGTTTACAGCATGGAAACAGGCCTTTTTGCCCAACTTGCCCATGCTGCCCAGTTTTCACAATTAAACTAGTTAAATTTGTCTGCATTTGGTCCATATCCTTCCATACCTATCCCACCCATGTACCTGTCTAGGTGTTTCTTGAATGATTAAATTGTACTCACCTCCACAACTACTTTTGGCAAACTGTTCCAGTCACCACCCTCTGTAAAACAGACTGCCCCTCTGGACCCTTTTGTATCTCTCCCTCCTCACCTTAAACCTATGCTGTCTAGTTTTAGGCTCCCCTACCATGGGGAAAACCTGTTGGCAATCTACCTTATCAATACCCCTCATGATTTTATATATCTCTAAGGTCAGTCTCCTGTGCTCCAGGGGAAAATTGGCCCAGCCTGTCCGGCTTCTCCATATAACTCGAACCTTCAAGTCCAGGGAGCATCCTAGTAAATCTTTTCTGCGCTTTGTCTTGTTTAATAATATCCTTTCTATAGAAGAGTGACCAGAACTGCACGCATTACTCCAAACATGGCTTACCAATGTCTTGTACAGCTTCAACAAGATGTCCCAAATCCCATACTCAGTGCTGTGACTGATGAGAGGAAGCCTGCCGAGAACCACTTTCACCACGCTGTCTACCTGCGATTCCACTTTCAAGGAATTATGAACCTGAACCCCTACATCTCTTTGTTCGAAAACATGACCCAGGGCCCTACTATTGAATGTGTAGGACCTGCCCTGGTTTGACCTCCCAGAGTGGAGCACCTTGCATTTATCTCAAACTCTGTCTGCCATTCCTCAGCCCACTGGCCGGGTTGATCAAGATCTCGCTATATTCCCAGATGACCGCCTTCACTCTTGGTGTCATCAACAGACTTACTAACCATACTTCCTAAATTCTCATCCAAATCATTTATGTAAATGATGAATAACAGTGGACTCCGCACCGATCCTTGTGGCACACTGCGGTCACAGGCCTCCAGTTTGAAAAACAACCCTGTACCACCACCTTCTGTCTTCTACTGTCAAGCCAATTTTGTATTCAATTGGCTAGCTCTCCCTGGATCCTGGGAGATTTAACCTTGCTCAACAACCTACTTTATGGTACTTTGACAACAGCTTTGCTAAAATGCAAGAAGGCAATGTCTACTGCACTGCCCTCGTGTACTTTGTTGGTCATCCCTTCAAAACAAAACCCAATTAAATTTGTGAGACAAGATTTCCCATGCACAAAGCCAAGCTGACTATCCTAAATGAGTCTTGTCTCTCCAAATGCTTGTAGATCCTGTCTGTCAGAATCCCATCTGACAACTTATTCACCTCAGATGTTAGGCTCACTGGTCTGTAGTTCCCAGGCAGTTCCGTGCAGTTTTTCTTAAATAACAGCACAACATTAACCACCCTCCGATCTTTGGGCACTTCACCTGTCCACTAGTGGCCCTGCAATTTCCTCCCTAGCCTCTCTCAAAGTCCTGGGATACACTTCTTCAGGTTCTGGGATTTATCTACCTTCAATGTGTTTTTAAGACTTCTAGCACCGCCTCTTCTGAAATGTGGTCTGTCTTCAAGACAATACTATTTATTTCACTAAGTTCTGTAGCATCCATGCCTTTCTTGACGGTAAATTCTGTCAAGAAATATTTATTTTGGATCTTAACCATCTCTTGTGGCTCTGCACATAGATGACCTTGTTGATCTTTAAGAGATCCTGTTCTCTCCCGAGTTTCTCTTTTGTCTTCATGTGCTTGTAGAATCCCTTTGGATTCTCCTTTACCTTTATCTGCTTAAGCCACCCCGAGTCCCCTTTTAGACCTCCTGATTTCTCTCTCAAGGGTACTTGATACCTTCTGTATGTTTTTACAAATCTCTGAAAATTGAAGCAGATATTGTTTGGGAGTTGGGGATACATCCATGAAACATTATGTCTGTCATTTTCTACATTTACTTTTGATATTCACACACTTAAAATAATTTTGACTCTGTTTACCTTCCAATATCGAATGAGCTGGATCGAACATCCATATGCTTATCACAATAAATAAGATGTTAATCTCAAATTAGAGATCCAACTAATTTATACCTGTCTATTATGTGGTTGGTATTTTAACTCTTAATCTTCTGTAATTACCCTGGAGCTGAAATTCTGATTGAGCGACGAGATGTAATTAAGCACCCGGACCAAATCTTGCAAGACCACCACAAATTGATTTAGGGCAGCATAGGTACAGGTGTCTTACCAACTTGTAGCAAAGGTTTTGTACCTCAAATGTTTTTGTAAAATATTGAGTGAATTCAGGTTGAAGATAATTCTAGAAATAATTTTTATTTGGTATATTGAGGCAAAGTTAAAACCTTGGGCATCTTTGAACTTCTCTTTGTAATCCAAAAAATGTTCATCAAACAGAAGGAATTTAACTCTTAAATCACGGGCTGTTTAGATCATGGGGTTCTGCTTAGTATGTCCTACATATTTGAGAAATGGTTTGTTTTGAACTGTATTCATTTTGTATTATCAAGGAAAAAATGAATATAGTCGGTGTCATTTATGGAACAGAAGGAAGCCGTTCTGCCCATAGAGTCCATTATTCCATAGTAATCCAGTCTGTCCTGCTCCTACGCTTGATCCCTGCAGCATTTCAAGGGCCCATCTAGTTTCCTTTTGAAATCATTGTGGTGGCTTGTTTCAGGTCATTATCACTTGAAAGTTCTTATTGACCTTCCCCTGCATCTCTTGCCGTCAGACGGCACTGGGGTCTCTCCACCCTGTATGGTTGGTGTGCTCGTCTGTTTGATGATTATGTGCATTAGCTGTTGCAATTTCCTACATGAGTGACATTAAAAGTATTTCATTGACTAGGACAACTTAAGAATCCTTGTAGATGTGGAAGGTGCAAATAAAAATAACAAGTTCAAATTCTCGTCCTCTTTAATTTTTCTTATCCTTGTTGCCATCTGCTTCCCTCGAGACCAGCTTGTGCTGTCTATTTTGTTCTTGTATGTTTTCTTTATCTCATTTCTTTGTCACTTTCTGGAAAGATTGTTCCAGTCAGTTGTGTGCTGTCACAGTAATAGTTGCAGACCTTGAGCGTTTGTTTTTAGTGAGGATAGAAAACACACAAAACAAATCAATAAACTGAAGATATTGTCAGCATTAAGGTCACCATCTGTTCAACTTGAAGTAAGTATCTGGAATGTGTATAGAGCGCTGTTTGTACTGACTGGCTTTCTTTCATACCAGTGTTTAGATAAGTGATTGGTTTATTAGGGCTTTTTCTAAGAGTTGCTGCAATATTTTCCTTGGAGAGCCATTAAACTGCTAGAAGTGCAACAGGCTGCAACTTCTGACTACTTTGCCTATGCCACAACTGACACAAATCTTGGGGTTAAGTATATTTACCTTATAAGAGTGGGCACAACTTTATCAGCAGCACTGTAAGGTCTCCTGCCTGATAGACGTTTCTGAGATGCTTCTTGCTAAGTGCACAGTAAGCCAGTATGCCTGGATGTGTGATCTTCATTTGGGGGTTCCCCTTCCATATGTGATTCCTGCTTTTCCCATGGCATTCTGACTTGGATTGCAATTGGGAACTTTCCTCATGTAGTCTACATGCAACCCAAAAAGGCCTGCTTCGTGTAGGTCAGTGGCAACAACTGGACAGCGGGAGGGAAGGCAGAATGAGTACTTCTGCCTTTCTTGCAATCCCCCAGCATGGTAACTGAATGTAGCAGTGACTATGGATCATGAACAGAGAATCTGACTCCTGTTCGGTTCCATCCTAATTTCTATGCCATATCTGACCTAGGGGCATTTCATGTGAATGTTTAGTTCCTGAAATGGAGAAATTGTTCCATTTAATGAAAGCAAAATGCTGCTTTATTTTAACATACTTCCCTGCCTCCATCCACTTGACAGAACTGAATTATGTTTATTACTTTAAGGTGGAGTAGGCAATTGTTTTCTACTTTGAAAACTTTTGATGTGACCATAGAATCAGGGCTGTGTGGGGAGCAAGTGAGGTTTCAACAAATCTTTCCATTGGTTCTCATAGATATCAAGTTGCTGATCCTAGTTTGTCTAAATATGACTGATTTACTGATGAAGTGATTGTGTTAAATGACGTGTTTAGTTCCAGGCAGCAATTGTCTCAGGATGCACTAGCAGATAAGAAATGTGTGA